ACATGGAAACCGCGTTTAAAATACTACATAAAAGTGGTCAGAGCCGAGTGCTCACATTTATTGAAGCTCTTGACATCCTTAGATTCAAACCCCCTTTATGTATACTAAAACAACTTGTATTCACATTCAACCTACCTTGGTGGTATTGATTTTAATTTTCATACGAAGACTAAAGTGTTTTTCGTTTTCTCTCCCTTCCTATTCCTTCTATGTTTCCTATTAACTTTATTCAGCCTTTTCATAAATTTTCACATGAATAGTTCAACAAATTCATGTGTAAGGAATCAGATTGTTTGAAATGTGTATAACGCTAATACATCACTATATGTTTCAGATAATCTTCATCTTCTCATTACGTTATTTGAGTGACATATATGTTCATACTATTATCATATTGAGACAGTGTGATCAGATTCGTCACCATTTACCCATTTAAACAATCAATAACTTGTACTGATTTTATTCTGTGAAGAAGCAATTTCCACAAATTTGTGAAACTTCATTAAGATCTTACAAATATATTTCACTTATAAAGAAATATTACCATTCCAATCTTTAAATTTGATGAGAAAACACAGAAATTTATTTACTTTCCACATTGTTAAAACACCACGAAATATTAGAGTTAAATCAACTGAGCATAGGAAAAGAGAGATGCAGATCACTGGAAAGAAGTTATTTAACGCTAAATTTATTTTCTAGAGTAATACTTCGATATTTTTTCTTAGAAACGTCTGTTTTTCCCCATATATCTTATGCTAGAAAGCAATTTGTAGACAAATTAAGTTTCTGATTGAGCGATCAAAGTTATAATTATTCAAAAGAATTGGCAATAACTGAGCTCAGTCATTCTTCTATGGTTTAACATTTGATCAGGTTTTAAACATATTTGTGAGCTAACAGAAGTTGGAAATATGGACCACTGGATTCTGACCCAGTGGCTCAATGGTAACGCGCTGGCCGTGGAACCTGAGGGTCGCGGGTTCGATCCCTGCTGGTGGGGTCGTGGGTGCGCACCGCTGAGGAGTCCCATGCTAGGACAAAACAGCTGTACAGTGCTCCCAGGTTTCCCTTGTTCCTCCAACTGATGTCAGTCTACGATGAATAACAACTTGAAATATTTGTAAGCAAATTTAAGGAGTAAACATTGTTATTGATAATGCCTTTATTATACCAGGATAACATTGGGCTATAGTTACTAATTAGATTCGAAATTATATGCATCAATAAACAACAACTGATACCTGTCACACCATTGCTGTGTCCCAATGGCTTAGTTGATAATAATTTCATACTTGAAGTAATGATTACGGGGTTCGAATCTTTAACTAGAATGGAGGTATATCTAGCTGATGAGTGCAGAATAGAATGAAATGTAAGCTATGAATCCCATTGCTACCCGCCTATTAAACTACAATAGATTTAAAATCTTAATTTTTCAAAGACATTCTATTAATATAATGAAATATTCTACAATTACATCATTCCTGTTTTGTATACAGATAATAATTTAGTTATGACATTGTCTTTTTACATTTCATCGACTTAACATTTGTTCATTGATTTAACTTTACAGTTTGAGTATTACGACAGAGTGTAATTCAATAACACGCTGATCTATCTGATGCAACATATATTAAGACAGCCTTACTTATTACATGAGATTTTGAGTACGCTTTACTACTGAAAATCATATCAAAGTATGATGTAATAAATTTTCTACCAATAAATAATATTTTACCACCGTGAGCTATCTGAAAGAAGCTAATTTTATATAGAAGTGAAGTACAATAAATGAATATAGTAATGTAATTAACAGATATAACCAACATATATCATAAGATTTTATAGATACTTGAAAAGTTTATTGAAAAGATCTAGCTAAGCGTTAATTTTCTCGTCTTTTTAATTTCCTCTCACATTTTTTTCAATTATAGCACTTTAATAGCAATCGCTTCCTAGTCCGAATCCCAGTGGGAACAACATCACTTACTGGGAAGCAGATACATCCAATTGATGAGTGAGTTCCAAATAAGATGAAATACGCATTCTGGATTTCACTGCTAGCCACTATCCATGATAACTATATAGTTAAGAACATAGACAATATCGGGGAATCCGTATAGGAGCCTATTTACCAACAGAGACTGATCAATTCGGTCCAATCAACGATGGCGTAATACAAGTAATAACACTTAAACTACACCCGTCGCACAAGAAATGCCTATCGTGACCCGGTACTTTAGTGAATAACACTCTCACGTTTGAAGCGATTGCCCCGAGTCCGAATCTTGGTGGGAACAACATCACTGACTGGGAGGCAGGTACATCCAACTGACGAGTGAGTCTTAAATAGGACGAAATGGGCATCCTGCATTCCACTTCTAGCCACTGTCCGTCACCAGTATTGAACATAAAGCTTGTTGATTAAACTTAAAATGAAGTCTAAAATCATCTACTGAATTTTCTTTTAAGTAATACATGATATTAGTCTACTTTTTCAGGAGTTTAATTCAACAATACATTTATAATAAATAGTTTTTGAATGTAACAGTAGGAAAAAAAGGGATATTTGAAAAAAAATGCAATCAGGAAGACATTTTTGCGCATGACTGGAATAGATAAAAAGATATAAAAATATGTTAAGTCAAACTCCAGAGCGTTATCCACTACACCACCGAGCCACCATAATCAACAACACTACTTAGCGGTAGGTGATACGAGGTCCTTCTTGCTTACAGTGCTTGTTAACACTCATTAGCAAGATATACCAACAATCCTAAGAGATTTGGTGTCTTGCCAGATAATCGAACCCATATCATAGAATGCTGCAGTCGGACATGGAACTACTGAACTATTAGAGCCACGGCTGACAACCTGTAGAACTGAATTACATGCATTAACTGGTCATTGAAGAGCGGCCAATCTTATGTTACTTAGCGCTGAGTGATGCAGATTGGAATCGCATAGAAGACATAAATTCTCTTAAGGTTGCACTTACGCCTTGCTGATGAGTGTCAACAAGCAAGAAAATTTGAAGCAAAACTTCTTGCCAGTTCCCTCCAACCAACTAAAATCTACCTATATACATTGCGATCCTGAGCCTCCTAGCTTGGTTGCCACATTGAAATTATTATCGGTAGAATTCAGTCTGCCCTCAGAACTGGTTGCTTTCCTGTGACTAATCAATGTAATAGTTGAAAATGGTTACTCTTGCTACTAAATACAAATTATTTAGAGGTACTATTCATCATGGACTGAAATCATTTGGGAAACCATTGAAAATCTTGGAGCACTGGAAAGCTGTTGAAGATATCACGAAGTTTTAATGAGAAGCTGTCACCTGTGCAGGCAACCAGTCGGAATTGAAGTGCATGCTAATTGAAGATCTTGTGTGACAGTCACGCTATATCGTGAACTGACAGAACATGGAAACTGTGAACCACTGAAAGCCGACCCAGTGGTTGAATGGTTAACGCGTTCGCTGTGAAACCTGAAGGTCATCAGTTCGATCCTAACCGGGTCGTGGGTGCGCACCATCGAGGAGTCCCACACCACGACAAAGCACCTGTCCAGTGCTTCCAGGTTCTCGATGGTTTCCCAACTGATGTCAGTCCATGATGAATACTACTCCTCAATTAAAAATCCCCATTCATCCAAAGATTATTTATCAGTGAGCTAACATCAATAGCAAGTGAATCAGTAGTCATGTAAGTAGTAATACGATTTTGTAAACAACTCATATTCGATTGATCAAATCACTTCTACGTTAACTAATTGTGCAATAGATCATATACACAACATGTAGATGAGTAAATTTTGAATATAGAATAGTACCGTTAGAGCTGTTGTGTATCACAAACTTTCGATGTTATGCTTTCTCCTGAGTAGGTTCACAGGGATTTTACTAGAGCCCTGCAGCATAGAAAGTCTTGTGACAAAAAAGTCAATATATGGAATATCGTTATTCCTGATTGTAGTGGACTGGATTATGCAACAAACAGTGAGGAGCAAGAAGAGAAAGATACACTGGAGCGCAGAAAAGAACCCAGAAGATTTGAATTTCGACGATGACTTTTGTCTATGTCACACAAACTGGGAGATCTACAGGCGAAAACTAACAAGTTGACAGAAGAGGTGAGGTAGGGTAGCGAAGACGGGACTTCAAGTGAATGTAGAGAAGACGAAGGTGATGAAAATACCCAATCAACACCACCAACAACAAACACCAATCAGCATCAGTGGGAGGAAATTAAACGAAGTAGTCTCTTTCACCTATCTACGCAGCACTGTTTTAACTACAGGTGGTGACACAGACGAGGACGTCAAAGCCAATCAGCATCAGAAAGACAATAACACACACCTTCCTTCATCAACCTGAAACAACCAGTGTGGACATCTTCTGCACTACACTCCACTCCACTCAGCATAAAGCGTGAACAACATCCCGATTTTCAACACCAATGCGGTCAAGTAATTCAGTGTTTCTGTGTGATGGTTGGGAGACTTTGTGCGTTGCGAAAAAGTATTTACAACAAACCACAGATATTCATCAACAGCTGCCGCCTACGCTGCCTCGATACCGAAGCTAAGATGGTCCGAATGATGAGAATAAGCAGCATGGAATTTCGGCTGACTAGCAACGAACCAACAAAGCGAGAACCTATTGCTGAACAAATATACACTGGAATGAAGTGGAGATGGATTTGGTATGCACCGAGAAGGGCAACTGGGGATATCAGGCACCAGTCCAGGTAGTCAAGTGGAACCCAGATGGGAAACGACGAGTTCGGTGATGGTGTCTGAGGATAATATGGAGGAGATGGTGTGAGGAAGAAATGAGAGCGCGTGGACAGTTGTGGCACCAGGTTGAAAAGACTACAGAGAATAGAGTGGAATGGAGGTGTTCCACTGAATCCCTATGTTCCACTAGGAACCCAAAGGACATATAATAATAATGGTAGACAATAATACAAAAGAATAGTACAGAATTAACTTACTTTTAACTGCATCCAAAGGTTTTGCCACGAGTTGTTTAGCAATATAACCTGCCATTGTCAAACTTTTAAATTAATTAGATAATAAGTTTTCTGTGTAGAGTATCCCTCTATTAAATTGAATCAGTATATGTATATGCAAAAATGTTTTGATAAACAGATATCAATTTCCACAAAAATCAGTGATTCTCTCTTTTTATTATATAATTGTTGAAGATTTTACTAGCTCTCTGTCGCTTTCTCTCTCTCTATATATATATATATGTATATATAGAGAGATTTTGATGTATATAGTTAGTGGAGACGAAAATGAGATAACATGAAAATATAAATAGGGAAAATATTACCTGTCATCTAATACTTCTTATTGGCTTATTTTCAATAACAAGGAAATGATTGGTCATAGAGTTACTTCTAAAGCAATCAGTGATGATAGCTTGTTGTATTAAAACGTATAACATAAATAATAATACTAATTATATAATATATAAAAGAAAAGCTTGATGAAATTCATTGTATGAAAAAAGTAAAGGCAATATATCAACAGAGTGTTGAAACAAGACAGTGTAATTAATGAAAATGTTTTTCACCTGTTGTTTTTATTTGTCCCTTAGGTTCCTAGTGCAACATAGGGATTGAGTAGTATGCATCCCTCCAGTCTACTCTCCAGTTCCCTGAAGTCTTTTGAACCTGGCGCCATGACTACCTATAAGCTTTCATTTCTTCCTCATATGATCTCCTGCTACTCACCCTCATACACCTTCGCTTAACTCGTCGTTTCCCATCTAAGATCCAATAGAGGACCTGGCGTGTGATACACCCAGTCGGCCTTCACACTGTATCCGCAATCCATCCCATCGCCTTACTTCTGCATATTTGTTGAGCAACACGTCCTTCGTTCGCTTATTACTAGAGTTCGTTGTTGCTTATTCTCATCATTCTGGCCATCCATCTGAGCTTCAGTAAGGAGCTCAGGCACTTGTTGATGAATATCTGTATTCTGTTGAAAATCCCTTTCGTAACACGCCAAGTCTCTCAACCATCATATACAAGCATTGACTTACTTGACTGGATGGGTGTTGAAAATCGGGATGTTGATCACACTTTATGCTGAGTGAAGTGTAGTGTAGTGCAGGAGATGTCCACACTGGTTTCAGGTTGATGAAGGAAGGTGTGTGTTATTGTCTTTCCGATGATCATGGGTGATGGTAGGTGGCAGCCTTGTCCTACTCATTCCTGTCTTCACTTCACTTCATATGCTTCACTGATCTTTCCATTGTGAATCACTTGGCATGTGGCGTCTTCATATAGGTGTTGAATGAGCTTGATAACGGTTTGTGGCACTCTATGGTGCTGAAGCAACTACTAAATAACTTCTCGGTCGACACTGTCAAAGACTTTTTGAAAGTCGATGAAATTGAGGTACAGGTACAGTTAACTAGCATTCTATACTCTGTGCTATGATGATGCATGGTTTAGCGTTGCAGTTTGATCCGCATATGATTTGTACTTCCTGAATCCAGCTAACCTGTTCGTGTCGTAATTTTGAATCCATTGCATCATTTAGTCTCCTCTCCATGATGATGATATGGCATAATATTTTGTTTAGGGTTTTCTTCACTTAGAATGAACTATTTCTTAAAAAGGTATGAAGAAGAAATTATCATTAATTTCTTTCAGATTGATAAACAAAATTTTATTTTTCTCCCTTTTATTTTTTTCTAATTCACTTTGGCTTAATTAAAATCTTATCTAGATTTTTGTAGTACAGTTTGTGTTGTATGTACACAGATTATCTTGAGAATGAATTAAATTTACTAAATTTTTCGATGATCAGAAAAAAAAATTGTTGTTAGTTTACCTTGTTTTTGTCAATCTTCATATAATTGTAATTTTAGAGAGATAAAAAAAAAGAGTCGTTTCAATTTAATTATACGATTATTTATGCAAATAATTTCAGAATAGTGTACCCTACATTTTTGATTACATTTCCTAAGTTTGTACACATTGGTATATAATGGGATAATTTTAGCATTAGAGTGTTTATAAGTTTTCAAATGAAGTTTAATTACAGTATATTATTATGATCATTATTATTTTTCATTTGGAATCATAGTGAAACATAGGGATTCAATAGCACAACTTCATTCCACTCTCTTCTCTGCAATCTTTTCAACCTGATGCCACGACTGCTCACAACTTTTCATTTCTTCCTCATATGATCTCTTCCATCTCACCCTCGGATACTCTAGCCCAACTGGTCGTTTCCCATTTGGATTCCACTCGGCGACCTGGTCTGGACTGGCGCGTGATGTATCTAGTCGGCTTTCTCAGTGTATACCAAATCCATCTTCACATTTATCTCCTGCATATTTATTGGGTGATAGCTTCACGCTTCGTTCGTTCGTTCCCAGAGTTCTTTGTTGCTTATTCTTTCTGACCATCCATCTCACCTTCAGTATTGAGCCAGCGTAAATAGCAGCTATTGATGTGCGTCTGTAGTTTGTTGGAAGTGCTTTTGTGACAAGTCAAGTCTCTGAACCATCACATAGAAGCACTGACTTACTTGACCGCTTTGGTGTTGAAAATCGGGATGTTGTACACGCTTTATGCTGAGTGGAGTGCAGTGTAGTGCAGAAGATGTCCACACTCATCTATCTTGCTGTGTTTCTGATCCTGGATTCTACATCCTCGTTTGTGTCACCATATGTAGTTGAAACGATGCTGTCCACGTAGGCAGGTAAGTGAAAGAGACTACTTCCTTTAGATTTCCACCATTGATAGTGATTGGTGCCTCTTGTTGTTCATGCTGTTGTTGTTGTTCGTTAGGGATCTTAATCACTTCCATCTTCTCTACGTTCACTGGAAGTCCCGTCTTCCTTTGCTACCTCGCCTCTTCTGTCAACTTGCTAGTTCTCACCTGCACATCTCAGAGTTTGTGCTACAAGAAATTAGACATAAATCATCATCATTGGCGAAATCCAAATCTTCTTCTTGGTTCCTTTCGACAGTACAGCCAGTATATGCCCACCCTCTAGCTTCCTACAGTTATCTGTTGCATGATCCAGTCGACCACAATCAGGAATATCATGGGTGATATTAGGTGTCAGCCTTGTCTTACTCCTTCCTGTCTTCACTTCACTTCATAGGCATCACTGATCTTTCCATTCTGAGATACTTGGCATGTGGCGTCTTCATATAGGTGTTGAATGAGGTTGATAACGGTTTGTGTCACTCTATAGTGTTCAAGCAACTCCCAAACTCAATAATGTTCAACGAAGCAATTGGTGCTTCATTTCACTTCTCTGTGAAACATCTTCATGTATAAATTTGTACTATGACCTCTTTTACTAAACGTTTCTTAAAGAAAACTCTACAAAAGGCAGGTTTCCTATGTCTGCATACATTCCAATGTTAAGTTTGTTTATTTGATTTATAACGCGCAGTGATACAGTATTATTTACTTAATGACATTTCGAGCATAAGTTACTATTCATCATAATCTTAATGGGAAGCTCAGTGATGCTTTGGAAGTGAAGACAATAGTGAAACAAGGCTGCAAACTATCACCTATGATATTCCTGATTGCCGTGGACTGGGTCGTGCAACAAACAGTGAGGTATACGCTGAACCGCCGAAAAGATACTAGAAGACTTGGATTTCGCCGATGACTTGTGTCTAGTGTCATACAGTTTTGAAGATCTACAGGCAAATCTAACAAGTTGACAGAAGAGGCAGGGTAGCAAAGGCGATACTCTAAGTGAAAGCCGAGAAGAAGGAGATGATGAAGAAACTCAACCAGCACCACCATCAGCAGGAGAAACAGAAAAAAAGTAGCCTCTCTCATCTACAAAACTAGGCAGAACTGTTTCAACTACAGTCAGTGGCGGCACAGACGAGGACGTCAAAGCCAATCAGCATCAGAAAGACAATAACACACACCTTCCTTCATCAACCCGAAACAACCAGTGTGGACATCTTCTGCACTACACTACACTACACTCAGCATAAAGCGTGAACAACATCCGGATGTTCAACACCAATGCGGTCAAATAAGTCAGTGCTTCTGTGTGATGGTTGAGAGACTTGAATTGTTACGGAAGGGACTTTCAACAGAATACAGATATTCATCAACAACTGCCACGAACGCTGCCTCGATACTGAAGGTGAGATGGATTACCAGAATGATGAGAATGAGCATCAATGAACTCTGGCTGGCTGGCTGTCTGGCTGTCAATGAACCAACGAAGCAAGAACCTATCGCTGCACAAATATGCAGAAGAAGGAAGTGGATATGGATTGGATTGGGGATACAGTGAGAAGGCCGACTGGCGACATCACGCGTCAGTCGCTTGAGTGGAACGCAGATGGGGAACGACGATTAGTGTGAGAGTGTTTGAGGGTGACATGTAGGAGATCGTGTGAGGAGGAAATGAGAGTTTGTGGACAGTGGTGGTGTGAGGTTCCAAAGATTGCAGAGAAGTTGAGAGTGGAATGGAGACGTGCTACTGAAATTCCATGTTCCATTAGGAACCCAATTGACAAATAATAATATTAGTAATAATGTCAATACACTACTTTCGACATCTAATTTTCATACTCTGATCACCCACCTCATTTTCTATGTTCATATATACTAATCATTAATGTTGTATTCTGTTAGGAGCCGTTCCGCACTAGTAAACTCCTGGAAGTTGAAACTTAGGCTTAATGACCTACACATAGAACAGGATGAAAAAAATGGTTAGTTTTAACGTAGTAAGTCTTTATACTGAAATATCAAGCAATGTAGCTTTAGAAGGAGTCATAAACCAACTAAATATCTACTCAGAACTCAGTTACAGAACTAAGATATCGGTTGGCGATATCATATTAGGCGTACAGCCAGCGTATGCCCATCTTTTGCTTGGAGTGGACAGCAGCATGATTGCGCGCCAGTTCTTGCAAAGGCTTAGATCTCCCTTCTTTGGAAGTTTGACAAGATAGCCCTTCTTCCGGTCGATCGGCGGGTACCTTTCCTTCCTTCTTTTCTTCCAAACCTTCTGCGGTAGTGGTGTG